CGGACCGGACGCATGTCTTCCGACAATTTTTAGGCCATGTTTACCACGAGCAAAATGGCGGGTGTTTACATTATTTAAACATGGTATAGGTGGCCAGGGCTAGATATGCCAGAAAAGCATTTTAAAATTTGCTTTGGAGAATGAAGGCTAAATTTTAAAGTCAGTGTCATAAACATTAATAGAACTTTTTTTTTTTTTTTACGTTTTCAATTATTTTTTCTTAAGCCCTATATGTGAATGATAAGGTTGACTATCAGGACCTCGCGGGGCACAGGGCAGGTGAAGTAGGGTTCATCTGTTTCTTTGTCCTAAGCAAATGAAGGGATAGTGTGGTCAGAGACATGCTCGGCTGGAATCGTTTTTGTTGTCTGAGACTTGGCGGGACACTGGGCAGGTGAAGTAGAGTTGAGTAGGTCACCTGTGACGTCAGTATATGAAGGGATAGTCCGAAATCGGTGTTTTCGGTGTTTTTAAAAGATAAAAAACATATTTTTGAATGCGGGGTCTGTTTTTTGTGACGATAAGTGACACTGCATTAGCGTAGCGAGGAGGGGGGGGGGGGCGGGAGGGAAGGGGAGGCGGGGGGTGAAGGGGAGGCGGGGGGGGGGGTGGAGGGGAGGCGGGGGGAGGTGGAGGGGGGCGGGGGGGGGGACATATGTTGGGGCGCCAAAATGGTTTTGAAAAATAAATTGAAAGGTTGAGGGGGGTTCAAATGGAAAGTTTGTGTGGGGGGGGGGGGGTGCACATCAAAAGTTTGAGGGGTGGGGTTGAAAATCGAAATCTTGGGGGGGGGGGTTCAAATCGAAAAGTTTGTCCCCGGGCGCCGGGAAGGGTCGCTATGCCTCTGAGTGACAGACGTGATGTTTTTTGATGGATGACCCCCGAAACCCACAGTTATCCAACGGATGACGGGTATTCTAGTTCAATCTAAATGTATGTTGAATCTCTTTCTATTTAATTGTTGAATTCCGTTCCCTTTAATTCCATACTCGTTTTAGTCAATTAACGTAAATGTTTCAATCCTTTTTTTGAAGTCAACTGGAACTATAAAGTTTTTCCATTGCCTGTAATATTTCTTGAAGTGAATCATTTAATCAAACTGTTAAAGTTCTTGGCGTCAGTATTTAATCCGAAAGTAATTCGATACATCAAGTTTAATTCCTTCGCTTTATTATTTAGTCCCAAGTCACATAACATAGACATTTGGTTCTCGCAGTATGTTTTATCTTGTTCCCGACTGCAGTCAGTTTTAACTTTCGCATGTCCCTACTTTCCTAAAACCTACATACATATCTATTCAGACCAGTGTCAATACACACATCAAAACCCACGATAGCGGAAAGTAAGCGAAAGTATGCGATAAGTATACTGAAGTTCATACACACATAAGTTTAGAGATTATATATTCACGACGCAGTATACTGGAAGGTGTGTTCAGTAAATTCAGTTATTGATATAACACGAACTAGGGCTGTGAAAGTTTACAGTTGTAATCAATAGTTTTTAAAAAAATCTACACTAAAGCTACAAAGCTAAAATCTTTAAGCCAATAGAAAATAACGGACCAGGGGACGCTAGGTTGAATTTATAACACACATATTTATATATGATTGAAATTAAATACGATAATCTTGACTTCGAGTTAAATTGTAAAAAAAAAGTTAACAATATCATGATGTGTAACTAACACAAAATACTTAAATCTAGGATGTAAATACAATTTTGAACTATGTTTTGAGTTATATTAAGAAGTACAGACGCAAAGAATATATATATATATATATATATATATATATATATATATATATATATATATATATATATATATATATGTGTGTGTGTGTGTGTGTGTGTTGTGGGTATAAACAGACAGGGGAATCCTAGCCTATCATTGATATCAATAGCCCATTTTCCTTTACAAGCTGACAGTGTAGATAAACGTAACCATACTGGCAGTCCACGTGACGTCATGGATGTCACATGACTGTAAAAACATGATTCCATTTTGTTGATTATAGGAAGCCGTACTCAAATCAGCGTTTTGTTCCTGAGAGTGGTCGGCTATTATAAGGAAAGTGAGACGTGTCTTGATATTTTATTTATCTATTCAAACAGTGCATTGCATATTATTCCGCATAGAGGATGTACGGTTGATAATTTTAGGTGTATAAATCAAATACCTGTAAGTGCATATTGTTGTGGAGGGTTGATAATTTAGGCGTGCAAGTAAATTAATATAATGGTTTTTGTTTAGAAATATAAATAGAAACAGAGATTTGGAATATAAATAGACGTACAGTAATTTAATTTTTCCCACCACTTTGATGTTCTGAAATTTCTTGACGATGTTGATAAGGTTCTGAGTTCGAAACCAGTTTAGCCTTCGATTAAAATGTGAGTGTTGTTAATACGTCAAAGGTCTTCAGTATCACTCTCGCATCACAGTCAAATTCCCTAATAATATTACCTAGCTCTGTGCCTAATCAGACTACTGGACTAGTTGGTATGTTATAATTTCTTTGTGGTTTTTATTTTGTATTTTATGTATCAACCAAAATCAGATAAAAAAAATAGAATTCGTAGATATAACAATGATATTACACGCATCACATACATTAATTTTTGTAAAGCTTTTGTTAAATTTTTTTCTACTACATCCCAAACATCTACCACACTTCAACATCCACTACCCCCCCCCCCAAACATCTACCACGCCGCAACATCTACTACATCTCCAACATCTACAACACCCCCAACATCTACTACACCCCCTACATCTACTACTACCCCAACATCTACAACACCCCCAACATCAACTTCACCCCCTACATCTACTACTACCCCAACATCTACAACACCCCAAAACCTAATCCAGCACTAACACCAACACCAGTCCCAATCCTAATCCAAGAATAAGTCAAACCAATGTTACCTAAGCCCTTCTAAGAAACCCATCCTTCTCGTAAAACACCCCACGTTTTTATCAGTTATATTTATTTAAAGAACCACGTGACCCGCGGATGACATAAGACGCAAGAGGCTTGCGTTTTCCGCTTCACTGAACAATTAATGAAACGATAAATGTTATCTTATTTCAATGGCGTCCGCGCTCCCACTGATCTAAAGAAGACACATTCCATTTCACATTTTTTAAACCTCTGTCTCATACATAGCACAACCTACTGAAGTCTAGACCCTTCCCTCTATGAGTATGAAATCCTACCAGCAATATAACAAAGCCCAACATCGATACTTCGCCTAAGAGGTAAATACTTCATTGACTGACGGGCTATTGGATGATCTAGATCAGTGGTTCCCAACCTTTTTCGAGTGGCGACCCCCTTTTATAAAAAGTAAGTGACCTGCGACCCCCATAGAATTAAAAAGCCGAAATTAGTATGGAAATTAATAAGCACTAAAATAAGATTTTCTAGTAGACTTTCAATGTAAACTACTCTTGATAACTGTTTTAATAGCATGAGTAAAATTGCATACTATTCATTAAACCTTCGTGGTTAAGTTTTTAATTTTTAAAAAAAATTGTGTTAACGCCAACCTATGTCATTATAATTATCTTAATTTTGTTTTTAATCGAAGAATAGTGTTGAAAATTTTTTTTATGAAAATATATTCTCGAAAAGTCAATCAATTTTACTTTTGGGTATGAATGGTGAATACTACACCAAAATTATGTCTGCAGTTTTTATCTTACACAGAATCATTCTGCAAATCAAAGAATTCATCTTGCAATTCATCGGAAATGCTGGCAACATCAAGGGAAGAAGAGAATGGGTATTGCGTAATTGCAGATTCTTCTTTTTTCAGCTCAGAGAAATAGCCATGTAGTTCGTTTTCAAGAGCTTCAAGATGCCCAGAAATCGCTTCTTTCAAAATTTTAATTATCTCACAATCAGATTCATCTACCACACCGCAGAGTTTCTCAAATTTACAATATTTCCAAGATTTGTTTTCTTTGCAGCTTTGATAAAAATGCCCCGAGATTATCATGGAAAGTTATAATATTCGTTCATTTTCCCTGAAGCTTCAGGTTAAGCTTATCTTGATGTTCGAACATATCTGCTAGGTATGATACTCTCTCCAACCACTCTATGTCTTTTTAAGTATACCAAAAAGACTTGTTTCCTTTGCACTCCCAAGAACAATTTGATTTCAGATTTCAATTAAAAAACACAATTTACAACATTTCGTTTGACAGCCAGCGTACTATAGTGTAGAAGAGCAGAACCTCGTGATCTATATTAATGTTTTTGCTCAGTTCTTTGAAAGCTCCAGATTTTATATAATTTACGACTTATACTAGCAATGGACTCTTGATGTCGATTGGTTAGGGCAGTGGTTAGGGAGCTAAATCTTTTCTGTTTTCTGAAAGCCCGATTTTGAGCTAAACATAGATGGCGCAAACCCCCACAGCCGTTCTAACCCATTTTAATCATCAAGTTTAAAAAAAGATATTTATTTTCTCCATGCTATCTTCACAAAAGAGCAACTCTTTTATCTTTGCTATCATCCGCATGAATATAGACACAGACCAGCAACTGCGAACACGAACTCACGTCTGTTGATTTATCAACATGAAAAGCAGACACTGGTGAAAGCTTAATTTCAATAAAAATGTGTTATTTAACATTTACGTACATGAGATATTCTCCTATTGTTTTTTTTTGCTTGGCATTTTCTATCGCGACTTTATTTGATGCTTGCACTAATGCTGGTGAAAACTTCCTGTTCGATCAAGTCTCTGGCGTTTACAAATAGCTTCTTATCGACGAAAGAACTCCATATATTTTTTGGTGTGTTCCGAATGACTCGTTTCAAATGACGTTTTAGTTTTGAAGTTTTTATAGATTCGTGATTGAGAACAACTTTGTACAGTGCGCTTTGTTTCTTCTATATTACATTTCCAGTGATGTTAATAAGGCCGAATTTCAAAAATTCTTCTAAATATTTATGTTTTGTTTCAAATTACTTAGGTTTAGTATACCAATTGGCGACCCCTCAGAAAGACCTTCGCGACCCCCAGGGGGGTCGCGACCCCCAAGGTTGGGAACCCGTGATCTAGATGATTGTATGGGCAGCAAATCTTCTCCACCAAAATGCGACGGTCCAGTAGACGTAGCTGTAGCCCCTGGAAGTGTCTGACCCTGAGGGACATCAGCTGTCTGTCTGGGGAGCAAGAACCTCAGGAGGACATACACGTCCACCCACCGGCTGACCATCCTGGGGGAGGGAACAATAGCCAGCCAACGGTACATCCCCCTGGGGCCGGCAACCAAGACCTCCCACCGACACATTCTCCTAGACGCCGGACCAATGTCCACACACAGGCAGCTTCTGGGGGCTGCCTCAATGAGGGCTACACTCAAAACTGGTAAAGTCTCGGGTTAATTTAGCTATACACAATTGTCTGTATTGGTAAAAAAATGTTTAATGAAAATTTTACATGGCCTTTATTTAAGAAATATAGATCTAGCTATTTTTTCAACTTACGATTCTCTTACCCTCTTTTTCTATGTATTCTTCATCTGACACTAAATGTTTTCTCTGTTTACATAGTTTCACCTTCTATAAATGGATTGTTACAGTGCTGACGAGAGACGCCATTCAGAAGTTCCAACAGAGAAACCAGCAGAACCAGCTGAAGAAGCTCTGCCGGCCAGTGTCCAGCAACAGGAAGCCACGAGATCAGATGCTGGTCAAGGAAGTGCAGACGAAACAAGAGGAGAGGTCCAACACTGTAGCACAGGGGAGAATGTGGACGCCTTGCCGAGGCCGCCAGTAGTCCAAGGCCAAGCTGGGGTACGCTACAGAAAAGTCAGACCTGTAGAAACAGGGTTACAGGCCGCGAATGTCCAACAAAATCCAGATGGAGTTCAGGAATCGCCAGCGCTGTCTGTGGAAGAGATACGACAGAAGAGAGCTTCACTTCGTAGGAGCTGGTTTCTGGACGAGTCTTAGAGTTTCTGGGCGAGTTTTATAGCTTCAGGACGAGTATTAGAGTTTCTGGACGAGTCTTAGATTTTCTGGACGAGTCTTAGAGTATTTGGACAAGTCGTAGAGCTTCACTCCCTAGGTGCTAGGTGAAGTTGGTGATTGGATGTCCTTGTCCTAATTACCAATGAAGATTTGGTATCCTGTGAGGCTACGACAGGGTCACCGTCGTGGCTGGTTACCCAATAAAACTATGTACCCAGTGAGACTATGTACCCAGTGAGACTATGTACCCAGTGAGACTATGTACCCAGTGAGACTATGTACCCAGTGAGACTATGTGCCCAGTGTGACTATGTACCCAGTGAGACTATGTACCCAGTGAGACTATGTACCCAGTGTGACTAGTTGTCCACTAAAACTTTATACCCAACAAAGGGCAGCTTACATATTTGAACTTTAAAGTGCATTACGAAGTGAATGCAAAATACTGAAATAGTTAGGGTAAAGTTTCGTATAGCAACAACAGTATGTTAAAACTTTTAGTTTGAGACTCTGCAAGCTCAAGCTACATATAGTAACAAATCAGCGTGTTTATTCTACTTGCAAATTGTCATGGTTTGATTATAAAGATTTGTTTAATTTGCTACTAGCATGTTTAGTTTGTTTACTAATTTGTTTCAAGCGTGTTTAGTATTTTTTATACTAATTTTTGTACATGTATGTATTGTATATAAACTAATTTGTTACATTTATGATTAGCATTTTTACTGATTTGCTACATACATGCTAAGTAGGCCTACTTTGATTTGTAAATGCATGTTCAGAATTTTTACGAAGTTGTTACATACATGTTTAGAATTTTTACGAATTTGTTACATACGTGTTTAGTATTTGAACCTATACCTACCGTATCTTTTGTTTAACCGACTTCTAAATAACCTTCATGGTAAGTAATCAAAGAAGAAAACATGAATTGCATCTTTTGTACCTTTGCTTAAACACTTTCTGCTGTTATAAGTTTTCTCATCGATTATTTTTGGTGTGTTGAATACATTAATTAATTAAAAAGACTGTTGTACATTTCGTATTGATAGACTTTTGTGCTTCTGTTATCTGTGGTATTTATTGTTCTGTGTTAAATAAATAAATAAATATATATATATATATATATATATATATATATATATATATATATATATATATATATATATATATATATATATATATATATATATATATTTATATATATATATATATATATATATATATAAGGTAAAAAATGGATATGACAATTGACATTAGCTTGGGAGTGAGGTCATCTTACCCTGATTAATTTTCTGTGTGATTAGCTTGTACTGATGAAAGATTTTTTCCCCCCTGAACGAGGTCTAACAGGCCAATTTTAGCAAGTGCTGTTGCAGAACAGAGGCGTGGCTAGAAAAATGTTAGGCTCAGAGGCGGAACCCACGGAGGACTCGGTTAAGAGACTTGAAATCTACATCGTCACATGGTATTGGGAAACATTTTTGGTTAAGGTCTCATACAGGTTTTCTTACCGACTTTTTTTTTTACCGCGGTTGGGGGGGGGGGGGGGGGGAGGGCGGGGGGAAGACAGTTGAAACTTCCATGAGGGCGGGGGCATTGTGATTGTGATTATCATTGACCAGAAATCTACAGTAGAACGTTAACTGCCATTGATTACTAATTGCCTTAAACATAATATAATTATGGTTATAGTTATGCCGATGGTTACGGTTTGGTTTGGATTAGGGATAGGTATAGGGATGAGGATGGGGATATTAATAGTAATAGAGAAAAGGTAAGGAAGAGGGAAGAAGCTTAATCTGCACATAGCTAGTTTCCCCAAGAGGTAATTATTTTTTCTTATTTTGTCGGCGTAATTAAGACATTCTATAGAAATTATAATGCCTAGACTGTTTAAACTATGCTGTGTTTTCATCTTGACAGATATCAAGTATAATATGTATTTACAAGAGGGGGTAATAACAATGAGGGGGGGTGAATTGACAGGGGTTAATTTTTTTGGTTGATGTGGCAGTATTGAGCAGATGTGTAATTATATGGAGTAATTAATTAGTACTCTAGACACGTATATAAAAGTTTCAACCATTTAACAAGTACGTCACAAAGCGTTTGTTGTTGCTGATTTAAAATCACAAGCGATCCATCCATATAACAACCTGGACACAAATTGCTTTATTGTTGCAATACGTCGTTAGTTTGTAGATCTATACATTTTACTTTCAATACTTTAACATCGAGCTTAGACCTAGCGATCTATTGGACAGGTGAAGTAGAGTTCATATGTTTCTTGAAATCGGCATATAAAGGGAAGGTGTGGTCAGCAATATCACCAGCCGCCTTACGTTCCTTAACGTGAGTTAGGTACCCATCAGAGCTGGGTTGACTCAAGAACTCTACTGACTTTGATCCGGATTCGAACTTGAGACTTTCGGTGATAACAGCCAAGCGATCTACCGCTTAGCCCACGCCGTCCCACTTCGAGCTTATGTAACAGGCCACATAGTTATAAACATTTCGCGAATAGTAAATTATGACATCATACAAAAATGCAAGCTAATTACTCTGGCTAGCAGACAGGACTAATTATCTCATAGGTCGAGGCCAAGTTCGGAACTCGCCGTAATTATGGAAATCACCTAATTAATGCGAAAACTATTGCGTAATTGCGACATTTTGGTTGCGTTTATTAGCGAGTTTTAATGTATAAAGTTGTCTTTTTCAAGCTGTATGCTGCAACTATAAAGGACAATTCATTTACTAGTGAGCTGTTCCGTAGGCGCGTATGCGTTTGTGCGACAACCTGTGTTTTTATTTTAAAATATTATTTCGTAAATCAAAAGAGGGGAAAGAAACATGCACATTTCTTTGATAGTTAAGGGTTTTTGTATAGTCTTAATTCTGTTTTATTATTATTATTACTTTAATTATAATTCTAAGGAAATCAAGTAAATACTGTTTTTAGGTTAGGTTAAAAAAATAATTTCATGTGGATGTATAAACAAATATATATGGTTAATATACCCTGTGCAATGGTAATGATTGAATAAAACCAATCACAACTGTGTTTAAAATCACGTCAGTATTTCAAGGACCACGTTATTACTCTATTCGGGCATACTTGAATAAAATGAGGGGACATAATATGGCTGTTTTGATGGTTAGTTCATTCGTTATTTATAATTCAATCTGGTATAACTTTTGTCTATGTTCATTACATATATATAACATAAAATTAATCATGTTTTAGCTTTTTGTCTTAATCTGGATGAAAATTTCAAATTTGAAATATTTTAAAATCGTTTTCTTTTGTAAAAAAGGAGTGTATTTTTAAAATGAGAAATAGCTCATTATCTGAAAGGAAAAAATAAAAGTCGTTTTTTCATGACAGTGATGTTCGAATAAAATTTTATAAATCTTTTTATATTGGCCTACGCCGATGACACGACTTTTCTACTTCAATCTGAGAAAGCCATAAAGACAGTAATGGAAAGATTTATTGACTTTGGTAAAGCCAGTGGCGGAAAAATCAACACGGACAAATCGAAGGTTATGGGGGCAGGACAATGGGTAGACAAAGACGACTACAATACAGACATCACAGTGGTGGACAAACTAAAAATTTACGGAATAACCTATACAGACGACAACAAGATTAAAGACAATGCTACCTGGCTAAAGCTGACCGAGAAAATAGAATCGTGCCTTAAAAAATACAAAAATATTAACACAACGATCTTCGCCAGAGCCGCCTTAGTGAACAGATATGTCATACCTAAAATAATATTCATAGCAACAAATTCTGTGATACCTAACAGATTCATTAAAACAACGAACAAGCAAATTAGGGAATTCATCTTTAAAAACACAATTAGAAACATTAGCAACAAAACTTTGATACAAAGCAAGCTAAATGGAGGCATAGGGCTACACGATATACATACAAAAATCAATGCCTTTAGGTTAAAACACTTAGACAGAATTAGGATAGAGCCACACAACCACCCATTGGCTCAATACTATATAGGGCTTAAAATAAAGAATATCCTCAAAGTTAATATCACAACACCACATTATGGAGGGAATGATATAGGGAACTTCTACAGAGAAATATTAAAAATATCTAAAGGAAACAGCAACATCATTGGAGAAAAGTCCAAAAAAATATACGACATCCTAGTCGAGAAACAAGCAACCCCTCTATACCATAGGATTAAATGGGCTAGAGAGTACAATACAATAGATATAAGCGACACCTTCAGAAACTTACATAAGAAGCAAATAACACCCAAAGAAAGAGAGATTAGCTATAGGTTAATATTTAACACAACCCCAATCCCACGCAACAACTTTAAAATTGCATGCCAGACCTGCAAACAAAACATACACGAGACAGAAAAACACATTTTTTTAGAATGTAGTACAATTCGATTAGCAAAACAAACACTAATGACCATTTTGAAAACAAACAAAACAATCACTGTAAACAAAGCTATTACATTTAACGAAATCAACAAGACGCAACATATGACGACGACAAACTGATTGCGACGGCCGTCTTTAGATCACTAGTCTGGTATTTACGAAATAAGATATAGTATGACAGATTTAAATATACAGACAAAGCTATCAATGAAATATTTAAATCGAGACTTAGATCAAGACTCAGTCAATACACAGACAATTTCGACGGACAGCAGACAATATAAAATGCAAACTATTAAAATAATTATGTTTAGGTGACATTATGGACAGATATTTTCAGGTCTTCTTTTTCCCACAGCACCGGTATAGTCTTTGCCCTCATTTAAAATTCATCAAAAAGTGTCAATTATGGCCTTAGTTTGAGACCACTGCCCTACTAGGCCTAAAGTATGTCAAATTTGACCTTGATCTGCAATTTTGTTAATGCTAGTTCTATAGCTGACCCACGTATAGCGCCATATCTAAGACGTGTCAAAACTGGCCTTGAACTGTTCCTC